CCATTTATTTACACATTCGTTGGTTGATTCTTGTATGTGCCCTGACCAGGGATTGAACTGACAACCTTGGGGTAGCAGGATGACACTCTACCAACTGAGCTATCTGGCCAGGGCCTCTTTTGAATTTGTCAGCCATGCCTGAACTAATTTCTTCCCCATTAAGGCAACCAGACCCTCTACCTTCCTCACTTTGAAACCCAACCCATTTCGCCACCCAGCATCCTTCGAGTGCCTGTTGAACTCAACCGATCCTTACTAACTCAGCCAGAATCCTTCACTTACACAAGCAGGATTGAACTGAGGCAGCACGCACAGCCTGGACCTTTACAAACCCTGCCTTTCTTTGCTATTTGGGTTTCTGCCTGAATCAGTGCTTCCCAGAGAGCTGTTCTTTTGGATCGCAAATAAACGCTTGTTGCCTCTCCCCATGGCCTTTTATTTTTCGGTTAACAAGTATAATCCAGAACCCGAGGCATCCACTCTTGTGTCTAACCACAGTCAGGCCTCAGAGAGGTGCTTCTCCACCCGCCTTGCCCTCTGTCCTTGAAACAAACACTGCAAAGCCTTGTGAGCGGGACCATTGTCAAAGTCAGGGGTGAACACTCTGTCAAGCGTTGGAGGATGGGAAGGACGTGAGTGGTAGAAGCAAAACGGACATTTTTCTCTCAGACAAAATAATGTCAAAGGTTATTACATAATGAAATCTTGTTTCCGCAATGAAAAGCATCTTTCCATTTTTTTTCTTATTCTCGCCCAAGGATATGCCCATTAATTCTAGAGAGAAGGGAAGGGAGGGATAAGGAGAGGGAGAAAAACATGGATGTGAGAGAGAAACCTCGATAGGTTACCTCTCGTACACACCCCAACTGGGAACTGAACCCGCATCCCAGGCGTGTGCCCTGACCGGGAATCAAACCCACAACCTTTCAGTTTATGGGATGACGCTCCTCCCAACTGAGCCACGCTGGCCAAGACCCAACACTTGGGCTTTTGGGTTTTGGGGGGATGGAGGGGGGTTGGTGGAACCTTAAGGGTTTTCTGTGTCACCTTCTCACCTTCCCCAGGGTTTGCTGCTTTGTTGTTACTGTTCACCGTTTTTGATGGTTTGATCGTCATAGGCCGTCTCTGTGCCAAGGACCAACCTTAAAGTCTTCTCAGGTTTACTCTGAGCCTGTCCCTGGTCATGCCAATCACTTTCTAATTTCCCCCATATATGTGACAGTCTTCCAGTGTTCTAGTCTCTCGTGTCTGGCTCCCCAAAGGGAAGAAGCAAAAGTGAGTGGGGGAGAAAAGGCATCAGCTCTTCGTTATCAGCTGGAGGAAGACGGGCTGGCAACAACGAGGGAGAGACACCAGCCGTGGCTGCCCACTTTCTTGTCTGCACCTCTGATCCGAAGCAGCAACCAGAGCCCAGATCCCTGACATTGGGGCACAGAGTGCCCACTGCCCACTGTGGCTCCTGCAAGCTGATCCAGAGCACGCAGAGCCACCTGCCAGGGGGCCGGGGTTGAAGGATGAGTAACTGTGTGTCTGCTGTGCTGAGAGCCAAAACTGACCTAAACTAACTACACTTCAGGTCCAGGTCTTTCCCTGGAAGTTGCAACCTTCGACAGACTCCAGAGTTCGTTATAGTCAGACAGATTCTGCCAGTGCAATGGCCCACTAGGTGGGGAGATGGATTCCTGTGCTTCCTGTTCTGCCACCACCCCCATCTGCCGTATTTCTTTAACTGAGTAGCTTAGATCAATAGTTCCAACTACCACGTTAAAGGGAACTCATGGGGTAAAGGGTCGTGTTAAATGGTACCACAGGGACACAGGGAGCAAAATCCAGACTGTGGCTTTGTCCAAAATTATTTTTAGAAGAAAAAAAAAAGAGAGGAAGCTATAGTTTTAAAGACTTAACCACAAAACCAAGTGTAATGTATAGATCTCACTTGGATCCTAATTTTAAAAACTAACCCTGGCTGGTGTGGCTCAGTGGATTGAACACCAGCCTGCAAACTAAAGGGTCACTGGTTCAATTCCCAGTCAGGGCACATACCTGGGTTGCAGACCAGGTTCCCAGTAGGGGGTGTGTAAGAGGCAAGCACACACTGATGTTTCTTTCCCTCTCTTCCTCCCTTCCCCTCTCTAAAAGTAAATAAGTAAAATATTTTAAAATAAAAACCAGGAAAATAATTGTATGAGGCAGGTAAGAAAATCTATTCATTGACTGACTATTTAACCATATTAAGTATTTTTAATTCGACTAGATATAAGAACTGAGACCATGTATTTCAACATGACTTAAGGGTTTGTCCCAAGAAAGTCTTGCCTAGAAGAGTACATCCATAAAACAATGAAGAATTCATTATTTGGTCAAGGAAATTCCTGCAAACCAGTTAATCTGGGCAAGCAGTTTGTTTACCTGGGCAAACAGCTCTTCTCTCAGGATAATGGATGGCTCACCTGGGCAAAAAGTTCACTCATCAGACAACAGTTTGTACATCAAGACTAGTTTCAACGCCCGCATTTCCTCGTGTTCACCAATCCTAAATTATTGTGTCATAATCCTTGCCCAGTCCTAGCCAATTTGTTGCTTTGAAAATCTCACCTCAGCCCTGGCTGGTGTTGTTCAGTGGACTGAGGGCAGGCCTGCAAACCAAAGGGTCACTGATTCAATTCCCAGTCAGGGCACGTGCCTGGGTTGCAGGCCAGGTCCCCAGTAGGGAGCGCTCGAGAGGCACTCGCACACTGGTGTTACCCTCCCTGTCTTCCTCCCTCCCTTCTCCTCTAAAAATAATTAAATAAAATCTTAAAAAAGAAAAACCCACCTCAAATTGTCCAATTTAATTTTCCCCTTGGTGGCCCTGGGGAGACTCTGCAGGTCTTTGTGAGTCAACTGTTACCAGGTATAGAATAGCTTTGTGACATGTTTTTTTTTTTTAAGTGAAGCTTATCTTTTTGAAAAATATGTACAAATTAAAGGAAATAAATTCTGCGATGTGCTTCAATGGGACATGAGATGGAGGGTAGGTGGGGGCACAGAAGAAATGAAACTGACTTACAGTGACAGGTGTCGAAGCTCACGGGTAGCACCTGGGGCTTCCTGCACTGCTCTCGTCTCCTCATGCACGTTTCCGTTGTGCACAATAAGAGGGGCTTTCTCGGTAGACCACTCAGACCGCATTCTTGGAGCCCTACTTGGTCTTCCTCCCTTCCTCTGCCAGGCTACATGCAATCCGTTAGCAGATCCTCCTTTCGGACGTCCCCCAGAATCCGACCGTTGCCCACTACCCCCACTGCGGCCTCCCTGGTCCAGCTCCACTGCTTCCCGCCTCGATTACTGAACAATCCAATTCTCTCTGTGCTTCGAACTTTGCTGTTCTCTTTCCAACACAACAGCTAAGATGACCCTTTTTTAAAATGAGCCTAAACCCTCTTCTCGGAACCTGGCCATGGCTCTCCCCTCACTCAGAATCAAAGTTCTCTCAGAGGCCTGCAAGGTCCTACGCTCTCTATGCCACCGGGACCTTTCCCGGAATTCCTCTCCTAATGCACATCCCCGGGTCCCTTCTGCTCCAGACACACAGCCCCTCCGGTTCCACCAACTCACCTGCACGCTCTCACCGGAGGACCTTTGCATTTGCTGGCACCTCTGTTTGTGGTGCCACCTCCTGCAGGTTTTTACCCAAATGTTCCCTTCTCAATGAGGCCTTCTCTCAACACCCTCTTTAAAAGTGCAACCTCGGGCCCTGGCCAGGTAGCTCAGTGTATAAGAGTATCATTCTGATACACCAAGGTTGTGGGTTCGATCTCCAGTCAGGGCACTTAGAAGAATCAACCAGACAGACTCATGGATACAGAGATAAACGGAGAGCGGACAGAGGGCAAGGGGCTGGGGGCTGGGTGAGAAGGTTGAAGAGATTAAGCAAATAAAAAATTAAGAAAGACTCCTGGACACAGACAACAGTTGATGACCAGAGGGAAAGGGGAGAAAGGGATGGGGGGTGAAGAAGAGGGCAAAGGGGGGATAAACGGTGATGGAAGGAGACTTGACTTGAGGCGGTGAACAGCATATACAGGTGATGTAGAAGTATCTACTTGAAACCTCCATAATTTTATTAACCAAAGCTCACCAATACATTTAACTTTAAAAGAATCACCATGAATGCATAAATAAGTGGAACAAACGTGCAACCATCCTCCCCTACCCAGGCACACCCTCTTCCCCGCCGTTTTCCCTCCTTTGTACTATCACCATCCTGTTTCTAACATTCCTTGTCTCACTCTTTAGGATAAACAAGCTGTCTGTCCCGTGCCCTGCTACAGCCCCAGTGACGAGAACAGTGCCTGGAACAGAACAGGAGCTCAGTGAACAGTTGTCCAATGACTTTGTCACCATTGTCTTCCATGCAGCCTCTGCGGCCATGAAACTATTTACTTGTCCAGGCTTCACATTCGGGTGTTAGGTCCAGACAGCATCACGAGGAAGGAAGACCTTGGATGTTTAAACTATTACTACCTTAAGGGAAGAGAGAGGCAGGGCCCCGCCCAGCAGCCCCCAGTGGTCCCTGAAATGATGGTGGTGGGGCAGGGCTCTGTGAAGGATGCCTCTGGGGTGGGACCTGTCCTTCAGACAGTGACCTTGCCCATACACGATCCAGCGTGCTCCGAGGCTGGAAAAGATGTTCAGTTTCCTAGGAACCCAGGAAACACAAAGTAAAACAGCAAGTTACCTGGGCAGCTTTACAAACAAAGGAAAGACATAGCCAGCAATAAGCAAACTTTGTTCAAGACACACTTTCAACACAGCGTTTGATTTTCTGGGTGTGTCTCAAGATCGATGACTCAGATTTCTGATTTCTTTAAAAACAGCAAAATAATTATGCCATGGAATCAAAAATACCAGTATGCAGTTTGAAAACAATGTTCGGTAGGACCCACGAAGACTAAACTAAGTGTGCGGGATGGCCTCCCAATCCCACATCTGTGTGCACACCCGAAAAAGAGGCTCACCGGCATCCATGTTGCAGGTTCCCTCTCTCGCCACAAGGTGGCTCTGTCCCCTCCCTCCAGTCCGACCAGGTCCTCTGGGAAAACCAGCCGGAGTCGCCACTGCCCACTCGGAAATGTCGCTGGAGAAAGAAGATTGCGCGCTCCGGAACCGAGAGGTGGGCGTAGCATAAGAACGCTGGGTAACGACGCTGGCCTCGGGAGAGTGTAGCCCTTTCGTCCACCTCAGTGGTGGAGCGCCGTCCTGTAACAGAAGGGTTTTGGGTTTGATTCTGGTCAGGGCACAGACCTGGGTTGCGGGTTTGATTTCCCGTCCAGCCAATTACAATCTCTGGCCCGTCCAGCCAATTACAATCTCTGGCCCCCATGCGTATGGGAGGCAGCCAATCAACGTTTCCCTCACCCTCTCTTCTCTCTCCTTCTTCCTCTCTCTAAAAGCAATGAAGAGATGAGGATAAAACAAAACAAAACAAAACAAAACAGTGTAAGCTTGAACACTGGACCCCAGCTGTCATTTCCTAGCTGTGTGGCGTTGGGAGTGCTCCTTAACTGTCTGTGCCTCAGCATCCTTATTCGCACAGTGGAAATAACAGTGGTGCCCACCTCATGGTGTGGTTGCTGCTGGTGGTGCTGTTGTTGTTAGTGGTGAGTTGATCCTCAGAGGCTTAGGACGTCACCTGGCCCAGAAGAGAGCTCAGACCCAGTCTGGCTCTTGTTCTTTTCCAGGATGTGACAGCTGACACACAGCCACCACGGCCCCTGCTGGCCCAGGTCTGTGGCCTAGAGTTTCACGGGTCTTTCTGTGGGTACCACAGCTGTGTCCCTCGACGTGGAAGATAGAATAATGCCCCCCACCCACCAAAGATTTTCATATCCTAATGCCCAGACCCTGTGATTAGGTTACCTTGCATGGCAAAGGGACCTCGAAGGTGTGATTAAGTTGAGGATAATGAGACCAAGAGACTACCCTGGGTTAGCAGGAAAGGTCCAACGTAGTCACCTGGGTCCTTACAAGAGGAAGGCAGGAGGACCAGAGAGAAGGTGTGACGTGGAGCAGGTCAGAGCGAGGTGGCCAGGAGCCAAGGAATGCAGGCAGCTTAGGGAAGCTGGGAAAGGCCAGGAGCAGTTCTCCCCTGGAGCCTCTACAAGGTACACAGCCTTTGATGTGAGCCCTGTGAGACCTATTTCAATTCTGACCTCCAGAACTGTAAGATAGGAAAACTATGTTGCTTTGACCACTATGTTTGTGGCAATTTGTTACAGCAGCAATTGGAAACTAACACTCTCAACTTCAGGCCATGTCTGGGCCACTTCATGGCACTTGTAGTTTCTTATCTTAACTCGCTTTATTTTTTTTAAGATTTTGTTTATTTATTAATTTATTTATTTATTTTAGAGAGAGGGGAAGGGAGGGAGAAAGAGAGGGAGAGAAACATCTCGGTTGCCTCTCACACATGCCCCAACCAGGGATCAGGCCCACAACCCGGGCATGCACCCCAACTGGGAAGCACATAGTAAATACCATCTCCTGGTTCAAAATTCAGTAAGTATATACAACCACTTTGGGAAACCGTCAGTATTTAGCTGAACACGGGCCTGCCGGAGACCCTGCATTCCAGAGCTGCCTGCATGCTCAACGGAAATGCAAGGTATGTCCACCCCAGGACCTCTGCAAGAATGTTCCCAGCAGCACTCTGTGGTGGCCAGGAACTGGAAGCCGTCCAAATGCCTGTCAACAGCAGAATGGATAAACAACTACACCTCACACACAGCCGCCTCGGGCCCTGAACCCTTCCCCTTCTCAGAACTCACAGTGGGGAGGAGTGGGTATCAATCTCCCTAGAAGAGCGTGACCCCTTGTCAATAATCACATTATTGATAGATAGTGTTTACGGAGTGTTCACAGCACAGCAGGGCCACAGCCCTTTATAAGTACCCATGCACCTCACCCTCACAACACTGTGACATCAGTGCTTTTATTATCCCCATTCTACAGATGGGGAAACTAAGGCACAAAAAGTCTAAATACAATGCTAAAACATGCTTACCAGTGCAGAATGAGGATTTGAACCCCAGCAGTCTGGCCCAGCTATGAGGATGGGAAATGTGGAAAGCCAGGGGTGGGAGCAGCAAGCTTGCCCCCCTTGCAGCTGGGAGACGTGGGACCCTCAGGACCCAAGCTGCCAGAGGCCGGTGGCCTCAATGCTCTGTCTAAACCTTGGGCCACGTCCACATGCAGGCAGCCTCCCAGGAGGTGGGAGGGCACAGGCCAACGCTGCCAGGGCGTGGAGCTGATAATATCCTTGCCAGCTTCAAGCTGGACAAAAATGATCACACACCAAACCCGACAAGCTCGAGGGAGGCCTGTGCAGCAGCTCTACACACTCAGAGGCCAAGAGTAGCCACTTAGGATGGTCTAAAATTAAAACTGTTTTGTTCAAAGCAGTTCATGGCGGGTAGTCATGCCCTAGAGCAGCATTTTTCCCTGTCAGAGGTCAGTTTTCACCTCAGCTGAGCCAGTCTGTTCGCATCTAAGATAAACGTGCCTGATGAACATGCCTTTGTAATAACAAAGTAATTTTCTTCCTCCAGGCCCCTCAAAACACAGCCACCACCAAAGCAAGATCATAAACCCCCTCGTTGTTACTGTGTCATGTTGATTGTTGACTGTTAGCTATTCTGTAGCTACCTATGTGACAGAGGCATGTGTCTATCAACTTACTTTATATCCAGTCCCAAAGGTTTCCCTCCCCACCCCGCCCTCCCACTGTGCTTTCTCCCGCCTCCCTAATCTATCACCAGTGGGTTTCATGTAACCCCCTTAGGCCTCCTCTTTTGATTATAATGTATGAAATAAAATGCAAACCTACCATTTTCTGGAGCATTTTCTCAATCTGTTGAGATTTTGCTTCCTTTCGATTGTCACCGGTTTGGCTCAAATGAACTCAAAAATTCTCCACAGGTTTAAACCTGCAAAGGGGAAGATAGGCATGGGTTACAGGAAATCCATCGGTGATGGATGAGGGGGGCAGGAGAAGGCGAAGTGAGGAAACCTCTGAGTTTGGACAAACAGTGAAACACAGACACATACTTCTTTCGCATGAGCAGGGACAGGGCAGTGCACAGTTAACAGTTAACGCGGTAACAACAACGAGGGGATCGGTGGTCTCTGCGCTGGTTCCCTGGCTGTGCTCTGAGACAAGGAAATCTTTGCTAGTCCCAGGGTGTGTTACCAGGTATGTTATTTTAGATGCCAAATGGCAGCAGGGGCCCAAGTAAGGCGAAGATTGACTTTTGTTAGGGAAAAAATACCACACTGGCCTAGGACATGACTACCCACCATGACCTGCTTTTAGTTAGAAAGTTTCCATGTCAGACTCTCCTGTGTGGTAAGCCCCACCCACCAGGCAGGCCCCCCAGGGCTGTCAGGCTTAGTGTGTGGCCCCTTTCTCGTCCACACTGGTCTGTGGTCAGTGCTGGGGAAGTTGTTAGGGACACAGTGGTGGGCATGGGGGGGGCCAGGAGTAACTTTGATATTGTAAACGCCCAACACTGGATCCGGGTTCTTGGTTCTGGGCCTGAGAACAATATCTCTGAGTGTGTCGGGGACACACTGCTGTCTCCCAGTGCTCGGGGGCCAAGGACCAGAAAAGCTGAGGTCCGACTGGTAAAACACAGGGAAATTAACCCTCCAAGTGCGCCACGAGGGCCAACAACCCTTCCGAACATGGAAGACAGGGTCTGGGATTGCAGGGTAGCTATGAAGGCATCACTGCTCTTACAGACAACAACCTCTCAAAACCTGTGAGCCAGAGGACAGGGAGGCTGCTCCCGGAACCAGGAAAGACCACACCCACCTCTAGCTGCCCTGAGAATGACAGCCTCCCTCCTGCATCTGCGGGGCTGGAGAGATGGGGGTGTGCCCGTCCCGCCTCAGGCCCTGGCCAGGACAGCTGTCTCAACACAGCCCAGCCTGCCTGACTTCACCAGCGAAGCTCTAGAATCACCTGGGTCCGATCACTTTTACAAGCAGCCAAGTCCTGGGGAACTGGCTTGTGCAAACCAGTAACGTCCCTTCACTTATAGAGCAGTGAGCATTGTCCTGGCTTCCCAGAGATGCTGTGATAACTACGTGGCTTCTGAATGGGACCAGGATGGAAGGCAGGTGTGTGAGGCCTGAAGCTTCTAAAAGAGCTGTGAGAAAAGGTTTTGAAATGAACTCAAAAAGGTCTTGGGTGGCATGAAACCCTCATCCACACTTTTATGTGTGAACCAATGTTTCATGGAGCTAAAGGCAAAAATTAAGAAAGACATAGACGGAGGTGTAACAGACAGATACGTAGATAGCTAGAGTTCAATTAATCTACGCAGATTAAAAACCCTCAAACAAGTAGTACAGTATCTACAATCAGTGTCAGGGCATCCCCCCGTCAGCCAGCAGGCACGAGTGCTGCCAAAGCTTCCTGCAGCTTCTTGCAGATGACCACACCCAAGTGAGAAATGCAGATGCAATACCTTCTCCACTGTGCCACCCTCTCCTGCTCTGCTCCCTTCGCTGAGCCTGAGAGTTCCCTTCAAAGCAACCCCACCAGGAGCACCCTGGGGGCCTCCCCCAGATGACCTCCAACCTCTGTGGCCCGGGAGCAGAGCCCCAGAACATGGAGTGGGTGGGCGCTATGGTGGTGTTGCAGGGTTGGCCACCATTCTTCACCCTCCCTGTGTCCACGTTCTTCACCGTGTAATTTTGTAGGCGGGTGACACCCACTTGGCTGTGCGACCTGCTTTCACCAACAGAGGGACGTTGAAGTGACAGGCTGCCAGTGTCAAGCCTAGGTCTCCACCAAGAGGCCTGGTACACTTCCACCTGTGCCTCTGCACGTGCGTGGGAACAAGCCGGGGCTAGCCTCCCAGACGGTGACAGACACCTGGAGCCAAACCAAATATCCCAGCTCTCCCAGGTGACAGCTGACCCCAGGCATCTGAGCAAGCACAGCTGAGCCCTGGAGAGCCACCCAGGCAAGCCCCGCCTAAACCAACGACCCAAACTGCCCGCCCACAGACTCCCCAGCTGAATGTGTGCTACTGGGGGTTGTGGTTGGCGCTGCAGCCAAAGTTAAATGGCACTGACACCCGCAGACCCCTGGTCAGATCTTTAGGCTGGGCTGCGAGGTTGTGAATCCCACCTCCACCATTTGTCAGCGGACATCACCTTCCTGTGTCTCACATTCCTCATCTGTAAGATGGGATCAACCCTGGCTGGTGTGGCTCAGTGGATTGAGCACCAGCCTGAAAACCAAAGGGTCACTGGTTTGATTCCCAGGCAGGGCACAGGCCTGGGTTGCAGGCCAGGTCCCCAGTTAGGGGTGTGCGAGAGGCAACTACACACTGATGTTTCTCTCCCTCTTTTTCTCCCTCTCTTCTCCTCTCTAAAAATAAATAAATATAGTCTTTTTAAAAAATTATTTTTAAAAGAGGGGGACATGAGAGCAGCCCTAACCTGCACAGTTCGGTGAGTTGGGTGTAGGCTTGCAAAGCATAAGTATTACCAAGCGAACTGGGGCTTGCCCACGTGCTGGCTTGACACATGGCCGAACAATTAGTGCTGAAGGAAACAGGTTTTTATTAACAGAATCCCAGCCTCTGGAGGGGTGAGGGAGTGGGGGATGCTGGGAGCACTCCTGCTGCAAACTCTGTTCTCTCATGAGACCCAGCACTTCCCTTACTCCCCAAAAGGCCATGAGCCAAAACCATGACCAGAAGTTCCCCATATCCTCATCTGGTCTTAAGCCAGTCAGGTAAACAGATCTCCACCCTCTCTGGCATGTGCACTTGTGGGTTCCAGAGTCGCCATCCCCTCACCGCAGCAGCGCTCTCCTCCAGGACCTGGGGTGCGCTGTCCTCGCCTCCGTGTAGCAGTCCAGGAAGTCACGTGCCGTGTTACACTGGGTCACGGTGGAGTCCAGGGAGGCACACACCCCAAGAGTGTGGCTTCTCTGGAGGTCTTTCGGAGGAGAAGTCTGCATTCTCAGCATTCCCAGTCACAGTTCAGTGCCAAACCCCGCCCACGAATCCATGCTTGGTCAGGCAGGTCCCCACACCACTCCATCAGCTCCGCCACGGTCTTCTCCTTCTTACCCCAGACCTCCTGTTGTGCTCTTACTCCAAACTGCCTGGCTTCACCCTTGCACACCAGGCATCGTAGCCAATTCCTGTGTACACCCTTTCAGACCGAGTGGTTTCTACGTCTTTCAGCCCATCCTCGTTTAATGCTTGCCCGGGAGCTTCCTCTGTGACCTCACAGCCAGCCTCTCGTATGATGTGCCGTTTTTACCAGTTCCTCTGTATCTTTTACTTTCTTTGGGCTGCCATCTTTAGTCAGGGCAAGAGTTCCCAGCAACTGTTGGGGTGGGCATCTGCCCCCTGCCTCTTGCAGGCGCTGTATAAGCTCCCCTGGCTGTGTCCGGAGTCCCTGAATGTTCTCAGACTCACACACACCTTTCGCCCTGGGTGGCAGACTCTTCCTTCAAGAAATGCACAGCCATTAACCTGCCATAGTTATGCAGAGTATGTTGACCGCCATATCATCCACCTCCCCCTTTCCCCAATCAAGGTTTGTGGGGGTTCTCTCCTATTTTCAGGAGACCCTCACTCTGCACCCCATTACAAAGTGTCACGGGTTGGATTCCCAGTCAGGGCACATGCCTGGGTTGTGGGTTCAGTGCAAATGAGAGATGACCAATTGATGTTTCTCTGTCACATCACTGTTTCCCTCCCTCTCTCTCCCTCCCTTTCCCTCTCTCTAAAAATCAATAAATAAAATCTCAAAAACAAAACACAAAACAGCCCCAATGCCCACCATCACTGTATACACAGATAAACAAAGTGTGGTGTATGTCTACAGTGGAATATTATGCAGCCCTAAAAAGGAATGCCGTTCTGCTCCATGCTCCAACCTTGAGAACACAATGCTGAGTGAAAGATGCCCACACAAAGGTCGCACACTATGTGATCCCACTTGTATGAAATGTCCAGAACAGAGAAGCCCACAGAGACAGAAAGCAGCTTGGGGTTACTAGGGACTGGGGGATGGAGGAATGGGGAGTGGACACTTAATGAATACAAACTTTCCTTTTGCAGTGATGAGAATGTTCTGTAACCAGATAGAGGTGGAGGTTGCAAAACATGGTGAATGTACTAAGTGCTACTGACTTGTACACTTTAAAATGGTTCATTTTACATGATGTGAATTTTATTTCCATCTTTTTAAAAACACAAAAACAATCGGAAGTCAAGTCTTCTGGGGAAAAGCACTGCTGTCCCTTACAAACTAGCATGAAATCTAAAACACTCACGCTGAGGAGCAAGCTAATTCCTCCCAGAGACCGTTTACAGAGGGACAGTGGGGGGCGGACCGTGGCCCGCCTCTCAGAGGCTGGGACTCCCCAGCATGGCCCCCAGCATTTGCAGGTGCGGCTCCATGGCTGAACTGCCCTTCCAGCTCCACTGTCCCCTCAACTAGGGCAGTGGCACTGGGGTGGCTGGTTCAGGAGCCAGAGGACCCCCTGTGTACAGAAGCTCTGCCACCAGCTGTGCAACCTCAGGAAGGTGACTTCACCTCTCAGAACCTCTGTTTCCCCATCTGTGGAACGGCCCCCTAAGAAGACCCTGCACTTCGTGGAATAGGTGAGGGGATTAAGTGAGATGACCCATGGAAGGTCCCCAGAACTGAAGGACTCCACAGATTAGTTCCACAAACATTCATTAAGCGCCTACTGTATGCCAGCCACTGTCCTGGCACTGGGGACACAACGGTGGCCAAGGCAGACAAAAGTCTCCACCCTCAATGAACTGACATTTCAGTCAGGGGCAGGGGTTCAGATACAAGACAAGGGAGAACTAAATATATCACGGGTTAGTGGTAGATTAGTGCTAACAAAAAGTTAAGTGGGAAAGGGTAATGGTGTTTGTGCAGGGGGGAGGGGTGTTTAGACAGGACGGCCTGGGAAGGCCTCGCAGGGAAAGGATCACGTGAGCCATGACCTGAAGGAAGCAGGGAGGTGATGAGTGGGGTTAACGTTTGCACACTGCTTAGCACTGACCTTGCACAGAGGACGTGATACAGCAGTGGTCGTGGCATCCTCGTGGATAAGTGGGGGGTGGGCATTCCAGGCCGAGGGACCAGCAGGCAAAGGCTCTGAGGAGGGAACGGGCCTTTGCTGCTGAGGATCACGAGGAGGCCGGCCGGCTGGAGTGGGCGAAGGGCAGCGTGCAAGGAGACGGGGGCAGACAGACAGCAGGGGCCCGACCTACAGGGAGCTGTGGGCCAGGGCAAGGGGGCTAGCTTTCCCTCAGTGAGAAGGGGCGCCACCGGAGCACTTCAAGGGCTCGCCATTATTACTAATAGTCTCATTCCCCCTGTGCCCTTCCTTTGTGGAAAGATGTCTCCTTCTCTCTCCTTTCCTTCCAGAGCGGCAGCACCCCTGCCCCAGCGGGCTGTGTTGCTCCCACTGTGCCACCTCTGCCCACATCTCTCGATATTTCTTAAGGAACATTTGATCAGACATTTCAGTGTAATCACATGGCACTTGCAGGAAATGGTAGTTTCCAGATATGGGGACTTGCGTGACTGAGAGTTTACTTTGTTCTGAATTTTGATAACAGAGATTAAACTCGAGGCTATGACACAAATAGGCAATCAAACAAGTTTCCCCAGTGCAAGAGAATTCCTAAGAAGTTAATGATAATCTTACTGGGAAAAAGAAAAGAGAAAGCATTGGTTTAGAAGAAACATGAAATTCTAGTGAAAGGTAATTTAAACAACAGAGGAACACATTTAGGAGCCCAAGCTAGTCTGCCCAGGATTCAAATCCAGAATTTATGCCTCACCAGCTGAAGAGCCCTGGGTGAGTTCCTTCCTCTCTTGCTCTCTTTTTTTTTAAGTAGAGATTTTATCTATTTATTTTTAGAGAGGGGGAAGGGAGGGAGAAAGAGAGGGAGAGAAACATCCATCAGTTGCTCTCATATTGGCCCTGATCAGGGCCAAACCCGCAACCCAGGCATGAGCCCTGACCGATCAGGAACCAAACTGGTGGCCTCTCACTTTGCGGGACGATGCTCAACCAGCTGAGCCACGCTGGTCACAGCCTCCTTCTCTCTCTTGTTCCTCTCACTAGGAGCGAGGTCACCAAGAGGATCCAAAAAGGCACAAAAGGTTTGTGTCCCAATACATGCATAAACATTTGCAAAATGCTTTTTCCAAGATTGGGTATTTCTGTCATACTTCCCCTACACTAAATCTCCAGAATATAGGAAATAGCCACATTTAAAGACGACTTACTTTTTAAATGTATTTTTAAGTTCATTTTCAATTACAGTTGACATACAATATTATATTAGCCCCAGGTGTATAACATAGTGATTAGACAGTTCCATACCCTATGAAATGATCCCCCTGGTAAGCCTAGTACCCATCTGACACCACACATAGTTATTGCAATCGGGAGGATATTGTCTATGCTGTATGCACTATCACATCCTGTCACTACTTTGTTTTGTTTTTTCCTGCAAATGGGCTGGGAGAGAGTCAAGGCTGCAGAACCGGAACTTTCCATAAACAGCAGCTTTTACATCTTAATCCCTTGGCCTTTTTTACCCAGCACCCAGCACCACTCCCACCGGGCAACCAACAGTCTGTTCCCCGTATCTATGAGTTTGGCTCTGTTTTCTTTGCTTATTTTGTGTTTTAGATTTCCACATACAAGTGAAATTATACAGTATTTGTCGTCTGCTCTGTTTCCATTAGCACAATACCCTTTATGTCCATCCCATATTGTTGCAAATGGCGAGACTTCATTTAAAGGTGACTTATTTTTCTAAGCTAGTAATAAGAGTGAAGACTTCCAACTTCATTCCGTTCTATCTCTAAACACATCTCTCACCCCACTGGCCTCAGCCTCATCCCCAGTGCTCCTTCTGCCCTGGCCTCGTCCTAGCAATGATCTTCAGTGTTTCATCCATTCCTGCTCTCAGGGGCTTTCCGTGACCCTGGACTTTGAGGGCACAATGCTGGACAGAGCAGACTCAGATCCAGCCCTGAAACACGCCCTAATACACAATAAATGCTCATGAAAAGCCTTTAGAATGGGTTATGAAAAAGTGTTTTAATCCTCCCCCGAGGATATGTTTATTGATTTTTAGAGAGTGAGAGAAATACTGAAGTGAGAAAAACACTGATTGGATGCCTCCCATATGCACCCTGACGGGAATCAAACCCACAACTTAAGGGTGTGTCCTGACCGGGCACTACAGGAGAGCTCCAACCAACTGAATCAAACAACCCGAGCCAAGAATAGTTTGTTTTGTTTTGTTTTGTTTTGAACTCCACACCAGCAGAATAAAAAGTTGACAACCCTACAACTGACCCTTCGATTTGTGTCTTTGAAATTCTCTGGTTCACAAGCTCCAAACTGAGTCACCGGGCAACCTCCCAAAGCCACGGTTCTTTCCCAGATGAGCCCAGACTTACCTCCCCAGCCTCATCTCCCAACTCCCTCCCACAGGAACCTGCACTTGCTTCCTGAACAAAGCCAGTTCTTTCAGGCCTTTGCCCCTTGTCCTTTGAGGTCCTGCTCCAAGGTCGCCTCCTCCAAAAAGACATCCTGGAATCCAGGCAGAGTCCATTTGCCAGTGACTCCGCCGCAGGGTTCAGTTGATGTGGCATCTGCAAACATGAATAAAAGTATCTCCGTGGAGCTGGGAGTAACTCAGCTGCCAAAGCTCGTCCCGGCCGCCAGAGGGCGCTTTCAAAACACCACCTGACTTCGTGACTTTAAACCCTGAGGGCAGCTGGCATAGCTTTTAGGGTTAAAAGTTAAGACCCCTACTGGATTCAAATCCAGAGTCCTCCATTCTGAAACTCAGAGCTAGTAATATCACCTCTTCACACCTCTATTTCTACATTAAGTCGTCAGGTGGATTATAAGTAGATCGTTTCCTATGAAGTGCTG